TACACCACTCATCATACACCACTCATCATACACCACTCATCATACACTACTCATCATACACCACTCATCATACACGACTGATCACACACCACTCATGATACACCGCTCATACACCAGCTCTGGTTTCAACAGCTCAAGCTCCAGGCAACTCCAGCTCCAGGTGCAGATTTCGTGGCAGGCGCAGCACTTTGTGAACCTCCATGTGCAGATGTCGTGGTAGGTGCAGCACTTTGTGAACCTCCATGTGCAGATTTCGTGGCAGGCGCAGCACTTTGTGAGCCTCCACGTGCAGATTTCGTGGCAGGCACAGCACTTTGTGCACCTCCATGTGCAGATTTCGTGGCAGGCGCAATACAAAATGCGTTGCGGAGAGATAGCGAACGCACGAAATGCTGTTTTTTTCAATGGAACCGGTGGCTCCGAAGCTGGCAAGCCAAGGTTTGCGGAACGACGGTTGCGAGACGGTCTCGGGTCATGCTCGGATCATGCTCGGATCATTCTCGGAATCGTCCGTCTATTGGGATTAGAGGTTTCACATGTTTCTTGAAGTGAAGATTTCGTGGCAGGTGCAGCACTTTGTGAACCTCCATGTGCAGATTTCGTGGCAGGTGCAGCACTTTGTGAACCTCCATGTGCAGATGTCGTGGTAGGTGCAGCACTTTGTGAACCTCCATGTGCAGATGTCGTGGCAGGTGCAGCACTTTGTGAACCTCCACGTGCAGATTTCGTGGCAGGCACAGCACTTTGTGCACCTCCATGTGCAGATTTCGTGGCAGGCGCAATACAAAATGCGTTGCGGAGAGATAGCGAACGCACGAAATGCTGTATTTTTCAATGGAACCGGTGGCTCCGAAGCTGGCAAGTCAAGGTCTGCGGAACGACGGTTGCGAGACGGTCTCGGGTCATGCGGCAGGCGCAGCACTTTGTGAACCTCCATGTGCAGATGTCGTGGCAGGTGCAGCGCTTTGTGAACCTCCATGTGCAGATTTCGTGGCAGGCACAGCACTTTGTGAACCTGCATGTGCAGATTTCGTAGCAGGCGCAACACTTTGTGAACCTCCATGTGCAGATTTCGTGGCAGGTGCAGCACTTTGTGAACCTCCATGATTTCGTGGCAGGTGCAGCACTTTGTGAACCTCCATGCGCAGATGTCGTGGCAGGCGCAGCACTTTGTGAACCTCCATGTGCAGATTTCGTGGCAGGCGCAGTACTTTGTGAACCTCCATGTGCAGATTTCCTAGCAGGCACAGCACTTTGTGAACCTCCATGTGCAGATTTCGTGGCAGGCACAGCATCTGGGGAGCTGGAAGCTGAGAACTGGCGACTTTGTAGTACAACTTTAGTACGCGGAGTATCTGGCGAGCTGGACGATGAGAACTGGCGACTTCGTAGTACAACTTTAGTACGCGGAGTATCTGTGGAGCTGGAAGCTGAGAACTGGCGACTTTGTAGTACAACTTTAGTACGCGGAGTATCTGTGGAGCTGGAAGCTGAGAACTGGCGACTTTCTAGTACAACTCTAGTACGCGGAGCAATCTGTAGAGCTGGAAGCTGAGAACTGGCGACATTGTAGTACAACTTTAGTACGCGGAGTATCTGGCAAGCTGGACGATGAGAACTGGCGACTTTGTAGTACAACTTCAGTACGCGGAGCAATCTGTGCAGCTAGAAGCTGAGAACTGGCGACTTCGTAGTACAACTTTAGTACACGGAGTATCTGGCGAGCTGGACGAGGAGAACTGGCGACTTTGTAGTACAACTTTACTGCGCGGAGTATCTGTGGAGCTGGATGGTGAGAACTGGCGACTTTCTAGTACAACTTTAGTACGCGGAGCAATCTGTAGAGCTGGAAGCTGAGAACTGGCGACTTTGTAGTACAACTTTAGTACGCGGAGTATCTGGCGAGCTGGACGATGAGAACTGGCGACTTTGTAGTACAACTTTAGTACGCGGAGTATCTGTGGAGCTGGAAGCTGAGAACTGGCGACTTTCTAGTACAACTGCAGTACGCGGAGCAATCTGTAGAGCTGGAAGCTGAGAACTGGCGACTTTCTAGTACAACTTTAGTACGCGGAGCAATCTGTAGAGCTGGAAGCTAAGAACTGGCGACTGTGTAGTACAACTTTAGTACGCGGAGCAATCTGTAGAGCTGGAAGCTGAGAACTGGCGACTTTCTAGTACAACTTTAGTACGCGGAGCAATCTGTAGAGCTGGAAGCTGAGAACTGGCGACTTTGTAGTACAACTTTAGTACGCGGAGCAATCTGTGCAGCTAGAAGCTGAGAACTGGCGACTGTGTAGTACAACTGCAGTACGCGGAGCATCTGGGGAGCTGGAAGATGAGAACTGACTGGCGACTTTCTAGTACAACTTTAGCACGCGGAACAACCTGTGGAGCTGGAAGCTGAGAACTGGCCACTTTGTAGTACAAGTGTAGTACGCGGAGGAGTCATTTGTCGGTGCTGAGTCAGCTCTCGCTGCTGTGAGTCATCTCTCGCTGCTCATTTATCTCTCGCTGCTGAGTCAGCTCTCGCTATAGCCATCTCTCGCGGCTGAGTCATCTCTCGCTGCTGAGACATCTCTCGCGGCGTGCAGGTTTGGCACAGTTCATACTGATAGTATTTGGTTGCATTTATGCAGGACAGGACACTCAACTGCTGGTCAATACACCACTCATCATACACCACTCGTCATACACCCCTCTTGTCGTGGCAAAGATACAACCCAGTACGCTGTTGTGAGCTGCTGATCCTGCAGGGGGCACAAGTCCGGAGCGCGTGCGTTTGACTGGAGGACGCTCATGTTGGAGAGAACGTGGACACTCCTATAGGTCAATTTGTTCTTATATGAAACTTCCGCCGCCGGCTTGCCCGGGAACTACTTGTATCGCTATAAGGAGCAAGAACTTTCTATAGTAAGAAGGGGCATAGCTATAAGGAGCAAGAAGCTACTAGTAGCTCCCGGCATCGCTACTAGCAACAGGAAGCTACTAGTAACAAAGGGCATCGTTATTAGGAACAAGAAACTACTAGTAGCTCCTGGCATCGCATCGCTATTAGGAGCAAGAAGCTACTACTGTAAACTAGTAGCATCGCATCGCTATTGGCGTTGCATCGCTATGAGGAGCAAGAAGCTAGGGAGCAAGAAACTCCTGGCATCGCTGCTAGTAACAAGAAGCTACTAGTAGCAAAGGGCATCGCTATTAGGAGCAAGAAGCTACTAGTAGCTCCTAGCATCGCTACTAGTAACAAGAAGCTACTAGTAACCAAGGGCATCACTATTAGGAGCAAGAAGCTACTAGTAGCTCCTGGCATCGCTACCAGTAACAAAAAGCTACTAGTAACAAAGGGCATCGCTAGTAGGAGCAAGAAGCTACTAGTAGCTCCCGGCATCGCTACTAGCAACAAGAACCTACTAGTAGCTCCTAGCATCGCTTTTAGTAACAAAGGGCATCGCTATTAGGAGCAAGAAGCTACTAGTAGCTCCTAGCATCGCTATTAAGAGCAAGAAACTACTAGTAGCTGCTGGCATCTCTACTAGGAGCAAGAAGCTACTAGTAACAAAGGGCATCGCTATCAGTAGCAAGACGCTACTATAGTAGCTCCTGTCATCGCTATGAGTATCAAGAAACTACTAGTAACAAAGGGCATCGCTATTAGGGGCAAGAAACTACTAGTAGCTCCTGACTTCGCATCGCTACTAGGAGCAAGAACCTACTAGTAGTTCCTAGCATCGCTGCTAGTATCAAGAAACTACTATTAACAAGAAACTACTACTACTACTACTACTACTACTACTACTACTACTACTAGTAGCTGCTGGCATCGCTACTAGTAACAAGAACAAAGTCCTGGCATTTGCCACTTCAGAGCCAAAGTGTGAGGACCCCCCGAAAGATCCTAAAGCTGTGTGAAGCTACCACCTGAATCCACGCATCTACTAGTTTTTGTTCTACCAACGCGCCGGATCTGCTTGCAATACCTGTCAAGGATGCTGCAGAGGAGACCAATGTTTGGGGTTATGCAGTTGAGGAGGGCCAAACCTATAAGAGTGTGTCATCAGACAGTCGTCAAAACATGCCTAGCTATCCCTAGCTTCAAAAGCACATGATCGATCCACCACATATCCACCAACCACTGACATAGATGCCAGTTGGGCCATTTCCGCAACGCGGTCACAGAGTTTTCGGTCGCGTCCAGGTGGTGCTGGCGGACCTTCGTGACAGCAAGTCCGCAGCGATGCTGGAGCCCGCCGAGATCGCCTTCGGAGGGCCTTTTATTGCGCGGGGCTACTTGGGAAGGCGATCGAAGCGCCTGATCTCCACGGATGGAGGATGGCAGAAGCATAATATATAGAAGCGATAGAAACATCTCATCTCCACGGTTGAGGTCAGAAATCTCGCACTCGCTTGCACCATGTAAGAATGCAACCACCCTGTCTTTTTTTGGCCTCTCTCTCTCTCTGTGGTGGTGTTTAGCCATTGCTTTTGCGTCCGTCCAACGGCCAGGCCGGACCTCGACAAGAAGGCCTTCGTGCCAGACTTCACGACGATTCGCTCGGACTCATCTCTGGAGTCTGGGGATTCTTCCACTCTGGCGGGCTGCTTGGTTGCAGGTGCCCAGCAGATGTCGATGGTCAGAAGCTTCCTGGTCGCTTGGTTTGGGTGATGTCATTTGAGATGTCCATTCGGTGGATGGGCCCTCCCTACATTCAGAAACATCAGCCAAGTGCATTTCAGTGGTGGATCAGGAAGGCGGGGCCTGAAATTAACCTAGACCACTAGAGTCATTGAGCAGCACCTGGCACAGTATGGGGACTATTCACTGCTGGGCTTATTAATCTTCCACCTTACATGTTTTGTGTTGGGTTCCTTTCGCAAACACGATTGGACAACAACATCTTGTTCTCGAAGCGTTCCCCGGGTCTTCGACCCGCCATGTGCGTTGATTGCCTCGTCTAAGGATCATCACCCTGCGAGAGCACCCCATTGAGCAACGAGAGCGCGGAGGCCGAAATGAAGATGGCTTTGATGAAGAGGACGCTACTAGGAGCAAAGGACATCGCTACTAGGAGCAAGGACGCTACTAGGGGCACTCCTGGCCTTACTAGTAGGAGCAAGAAGCTACTAATTCATCAGCTGGGCCTTGAGGAAGCTATATAATCCGGAGGAGTTCAAGTGGACTAATTAAGTTGAGGCAGCTAAAGCAGGCACTTCAAAGTGATTAGGACTGAACTTGGTACCAGCACAAAACCGAGGTTTACTGTTGGCTGGGCTGAACTGCCCCGGACTGGTGGTGGGTTATCTTGACATCATTAACTTTTTTGTGCCAGGCAGCGAGCATGATGCGGCGCCGAGGCTGCTTGGCCCGAGATTTGCATGTTGCATTTTTGTGGCTCAAACTGAAGCTGGCCCCTCAAAGAGGACGCATCGCTACCAGGAGCAAGGACGCTACTAGTAGATCCTGCCTTATACTACTAGTAGCAAGAGCAAGACGCTAGTAGTAACAAGACCTATAAGATTAATAACGACAAGGATGTATATAGTGGAAATCCAACCCAGACCGGTACGCCGGACATGCCCTGAAACACCCACGTTCAGGTGCCGGGACGCTGACATCTTGGGCCAACAGCGAGGAGCAGAAGCCAATGTGTATGTGGTCAAACAACACGACCACATATATATATATAATATACTATACTTCAGTGATTGACAGTCGGCATTTATCTTATACTTATACCAATGGCGTACAGCAATCATAGGCATTATAGAACTCTTTACTTCCCTCTTCCTCCCTCCCAGACTCACTCACTGACTCACTCACCTCACCTCACCTCACCTACTCACTCACTCACTCACTCACTCTCTCTCTCTCTCTCGCTATCGATCTGTGGCGGTGTTTTCAGATTTTTCAGATGTGTCTTGCTGCCCAGGACGGATCAAGTCCTCGAAAGAAGACTTTAATGGATCGGCTGTACATGACAGGCTCGCTTCTCCACCGACAAAGATCGGTTCCTTTTTAGCAAACCCACCAGGTAGAGGGTGTAGTGACCTCTACAAGAAAGTGTTGTAGTTTGTTAATGGAGGGATAACACTTGAAACCTTGAAGATTTGACAAATGAAGATGTTCCCCCCCGATTTTCGATTTTTTATTTCTGCCTCACTCGGCCCTACATCCACAGTCCAGAGGCGATCTGGGACGCTGGCGAGAAGGTGGCGTGATTGACCTTTTGGGCCGCAAGGATTTCCAGGTGCAGAATGACCGGGAGGGTTCGGCCGACCTGTCAGGAATTCAATGTATCCAAAACAACTTTGAAATATGATTGATCCACCTTTTCGCAGATTCTTGAGAATGTTAATGTGCTCTTCAAGTATTTTCAAGCTAACGATACCATGATTTCTTACAGGTGGCCCCTGATGTGGCATCTAGTAGTTTGTGGCCGCACCACAATTCAATGGTGTTGTTTGCTGGTGCCGTGCTTTAAATAATTTAAGCAACTAGCTGTCGGTGGCAGCTTCATCTAGATAAACAGTTATAAGCATAATTTATAAATCCGTGTCTGGGGTCTGTTAGCAACTGGAGACCTTTGTACCTGCTGCGCAATCCCTTGCAGCAGTCTTACATTCAGGGAAATGAATGGCAAACTGAATGAAGGTTGCATGGCACTTACTCGACGGTGTGGGGGGGCCCTTGTCCAACTTCCGGGAGAAGTACATTACCCCTTGGAACGGGTCCTAGAATTATGAAATAGCAGGCTTAGGCTTAGAACTCTGTGAAGGAACCCATGTATGAGAATGAGACTGAGGACTGAAGAGCTTGCAGACATTTGCGGGATGCATTCCTCCAGGACAATGCAGGACCTGCATGAAGCTCATTTGGCCTGTTGGATCACCCCCTTTGATCGGAACTCCATGATACCTGAAAGCAAAGCTTAGGACCTCGAAGCGGAAGGTCGAGACAGGTCGAATGGTGAAGGGTTCCATCTCTTTAGGGTCATTGAATGGTCATTCGAATCCAAGGGGCTTTTGGTGCTTTGGGAGCTGAGCTGAAGGACCTCACGGACCTTTTCATACCTTGACCTTCACCTTTAGAAGACCCCAGCTTTCTGGGGATGAATCTGGGATATGCATGACAACGGTCTGTTTGTTGGAGATGGCATGGAACATCCGGTTTTGCGCCCCACTTGTACCTGCAAACCTGAAACACCCCCATACCTCATGACACCTCAAGATAAGGTGCATGAAGTTATATGTAAGATTCAGATGTGTTCTGGCCATGCCTAGAGATTATTTTGCCCAGGGGGTAATCTTTACACACTCGGTTTGACAAACCCACTGAGACTGTTTGAACTTCTGCGTTTGGCTCGGTTTCGCCAGAGATCCATTTCGGGGATTGTCAGGTGAAGCTACGAGGCTTTCGTATCGAGCTGGGCGAGATCGAAGCGGCCTGTCGAGCAGCCGGAGCGCGGGCTGCGGTGTGCGTTTTGCACAAGAACGGCAACGGTATGGATGGATTGGTGGCTTACTTTGAGCCAGGCGCTGTGGCTGCCTTTTCGTTTGTAGAAATCAGTGAAATGTGATGGACGGTATAGGCGAAATCAGATGTGTTGGACTGATAGAATCAACGTGATAGATCATGATATACTGTAATAGTTTGATTTTTGTGTATATATATATATATGTATGTATATATATAATATATATATAGGAGTCATGCATTTTTGATGCCAAATGGATAGGTTCGGACGAAGTGCGGGAAGCCAGCGTGCGAGCATCCTGCCAAAAGTCCTTACCATCTTACATGCAGCAGCCCGACCTTGAACATGTATGTACAAGATTCTCCAAAATGAAACTTTTGAGTTGGAAAAACCTGGTACAAATAGAACAGATGTCTGGAAGATGTTTATCATATTAGTTCTACGATTGCTTGAGCAACTCATGTTGAAAGACGCAATCCTGCACCGCTTGAGCTGCAAAATGTCACTTCACAATGTTTTGTGTAAAAGGATGTATATAAGAGGAGGTGCTTTGGGCCGCTCCAAGGCCGCAAGTCATCGTAAGATTGGAGCAGCTGCCGCGGAACACAAATGGCAAGATTGACAGAGCCAAGTACCTTGGTTGGGCACAAAACAGCCAAATGACAGCCAAACGACTTATGAGGAGTGCTATTCGATGCACGATACCGTACCATACAATACTGTACCATACTTATACATAGACTTGCTCTGTGTATTATTTGTCACCCCCAACAATGTCGGCCACACTTGGGGCTTCAACTTGTCTGAGATGGGTCGCCCCCGGACTGCTGGCTGGCTCAGAATGGAAAGAGGAAGGGGGCCGACCCGGACCATCAATGATCATCAAGAGATCCCTCTAGCCGGATGTTTTGTCCATCACTCACATGTTCGCCAGAATGTAAAGGAATGGGCGTCGGCTCAGAACATTTGGGGAATGTCAGACCATGTTGAATAACAACAGCTCAAGGACTCAAGGAGGACACCCGACCATGTAGCAACAGCCTTTCTTGTGCCTTTCTTCTACTTGCCTCGATGTTTGAAAAGGCCCGGGAAAAAGACAAAGGTGCTGCAGCTCTTATGCGACTCGTGTCGCAATGTCATGCAACGTCAATACGTATTCTTTGTGTCAAATGTCAAGTCTCTTGTTGTCATCGCTGGTTTGACACGTTGTCCCAAGGCTCCCAGAACCTCTAATGCCTACAACGCCCAGTACGACCTGCAGCCCACCCGAGACTTCTGTACAGAAGATGCTTGTGAACATCATCTCGGAGCTCTTAGGCTCGGAAATCCGGAACAATCAGGTACTGGTACGGTATGTCAGCATATGATCAGGTCTTGCGACCGCGCCTAGAAGAAGATCCAACCTGAAATTGGATCGTTTCACCCGGCTTCAAGTCCCAGAAACAAGGTGCGGACCAAAACCACTCCGGCTGTCATTTCGCAAGCACAAAAATCATCAACACGTCGACGTTAGACTTTTCCGGATAGTTTCGCGCTCCCGTGGTTTGAGCTTGGCGTCCCCGCATTCCGTTCCGGATTTGGGCAGGTCTGCCAGTGGGCGCCATAGGCTTGGATGCTGACTTTCAAGAACTTGGCGGAAGTGCCTGGACGAAAAGATGGCGAAGAGGGTATGGTGGAGTGACTTTGTTGCTCCAAGTCAGGGTCTTAAGACCATTTAAAAAAAAGAAACATCCAGTGAATGGACGACTGGAAGCCCCAGGCCCCAGTATCCTTTTAAAAGACACAATGCCTTGGAACACTTGGTCGGTTGATGTCGGTTGTGCTTTGTGTCTCTTTGTCTCTTATATTGTTTGCATTCTTGGACTTGTTGGTATTTAAGAGAGGTCAGAAGATGTCAGAAGGATATACGGAAAACGAGAAGGCCAAGGGCAATGTTCAGGAATGCAACGCAATGTTTGTGTTGCTGTTGGTGTTCAGTTCCTCACAGCATACAGCAGTTTTTTTGGAGAAATTATCAGAAACTGGGGTAGCAAACGCACACACTATGGCAACTATATGCAACATTGTGCAACTATGGTCTCTAGCGCGACCCATCTTCAGACAGAACCACTTGTTATATCCGCGAGCCACTGTAGGAGCAATTGTTTCCACTTGGGCTGAGTTCGAGAGGGTTCAAGCAGGTTGTCTCCATCAAAGAGAGATACTCATTGATATTTTTTGTGGCCTCGAAACAGCTTGGAAGATTTCTGGATGTCCGACGTTGGCCGCAGATAGCCTCCTCATGGGCCGGGCCAGCTCTGCCATCAAGAAGGCCTTCAGATTGAGCAACTTCAAAGGGACTGCGATGTATCAGCTTGGCACCGTCAGACGTGACTTGACTCGATTGCTCTCAAATCAGTGGCAAGATGGAAATAAATTCTTCTGGTCAGCAAAGTCCTTCTTAGACCAGATATTATGTGATCATGAGTCCGCAAAATATCAGACCCTCTTAGCCTGTTGGAGCGAATAAAGGAAATGAGTCCTCCCGCGGTGAATCATTAGGAGTTATTTCTTTGAATATGTATACGTATATCATCATACTCGATCTACTCCAAAAGGACGGTTCAAATTCATGTACGAAAGAATCCCTGCATAAAACCTTTGTAATCTCAGCATGGGCGAATTTTAAACTCCCAATAGGCCAGTACAATCCTTGTCTAGACTCTAGACGTATCTCAATCAAATGTATGTATGTAATGGAATGGAATGGAATGGAATGGTATGTATGGTATGTAATTGTATGCAATGTAATGTAAGTAGAGTAAAGTAATGTAAAGTGATGTGATGTGATGTGATGTATGTTTGTATGTATGTTATGTTATGTTACGTATGTAATGTAATGTTATGTTATATTATGTTATATGGTGTGTATGTATGTAATGTAATGTAATGTAATGTAAGGTAACGTAAGGTAAGGTAACGTAACGTAATGTAACGTAACGTGACGTAATGTAATGTACTGTAAGCTAACGTAAGGTAACGTTAACGTAACATAATGTAATGTAATGTAATGGAATGCAATGTAATGTAGTGTAATGCAATG